TATATTTAGGTGTGTTTTTGCTTTTTTGTTTGTTTGTTTTGTGTTTTTGGGGTACCAGCGATTGAACTCAGGATCTCTTGTGCTTACAAGGCAGGCGACAGTACCACCGAGGTAAATCCCCAGCCCAGAATATGTTTAGTTTTATATGAAACTGCCAAGCCATCTACCGGAGTAGCTTTACCAGTTTGCATTTCAAGCAACAGTGAGTGAGAATTCCTTTTTTTGAAAGCTCTGAAATGTTCACCATCACTGTCTATATCCTTGCCATGACGTGGTGGTGTCTGTGTTTTGAATTTTGGCCATTGGAACAGTTGCATAATGATCCGCTTGTTTTAATTTACAATTCCTTAATGACAAGTGATAATAAAGTTCCATTTTAAGAATCAGAAAACAGAAGAGTTGTCATGGTGGCGTGTGCCTGTGATCCCAGCACTCAGGATGCTGAGGCAGGAGAATCCCCATGACTTTAAGGCCAACCTGGGCTGCATAGTGAGTTCAAAGCCAGCCTTGGATGGTGAATTTAGCTCAGTTGTTCCGCCACCTGCCTTGCAAGCACAAGGACCGGGGTTGAATACCTGGTACCAAAAAAAAACCAAAGCCAGCCTGAATGACATAGCGAGGCCCTATCTCGAAATGAAACCAAACAAATACAGTGTCAGAAAACTGAGTTATATTTCCTCCAATATTCATAGGAAATATTTTGAAATGTATAAAAATTTGAGGGAAAAAGACCTAGGAGATATATAGATAGGTAGGTGTAGATGTCTGTCTGTCTGTCTGTCTGTCTACAAATGTTTTCCCCTTTAGCAGTGTTATGTTACATTTTTTAAATTCTTTTTAATTACATCAATTAAAAATGTTAAGCTTTACAAGCTTTGTCCATTGTTCAGGTTGTAAATGCTGTTGATTTAAGCAAAATTTAGAGAAAAATGTGTAGTTGAAGATGGCTTTATATTTATACAAGTCTTTAATGATCCACTTTGATATAGATGGAGAAATGATATTATTTTTTGTGTTTTGTAAATTTGTTTATTGTTTTGCTCTTTAGGAGATAGTTGTTTCAACTGGCATGGTGGTGCACACCTGTAATTATAGCACATGGGAGGCTGAAGCAGGAGGATTGCCATGAGTTTGAGGCCAGCTGGGACTACAAAGTGAATTCTAGGCTATCCTGAACCTCATAGCGAGAAAAAAAAAACAACAAAAAAAAGTTGTCTTCCCTTATTGGCTTCTGCATTTCCATCTGTTGCAGAAAGACAGACTCCTTGATTAAAATCCATGAATAAGGGTCTGCATTACACTAAATGCATAAGAAAGAGAATAGTATATTAATAACCTTTTCAAATAATTGTAGATGTCATTTGATAAAGTGATAGTCTTTTAAAGTACTCTTGAATTAAATCCATTGGTTTGATTTGAATTTTGAGTGGATTTACTTATGCGTAATTTTGTGATATCATGTAATAATTTAAAAATGTTGCATCACTGACAAGTATATCATCCACTGTCAGTTTTATTATATAAAGTTTTAAAAATCACATTTCTTTTTCTTTTCCTTTCTTTGTGGTTCTTTTTGAGACATAGTTACACTGGGTTGCCTTTGTGGGATTCAGACTTATGATCCTCCTGTTTCAGCCTCCTGAGAGCTGGCATGCAGGCATGTGCCACCATACTTTCCTTGATAGCGCATTTTTTACTGTTACTAAAAATGTAAGCCAGGTAATGACTTCAGTAAGTAGACGGTGGTATTATCTCTATTTGGTAGTTGTTTTTTTTTAACCAACCATTGCCTTTGCCCTGTTGAATGAAGTGAATACAGTGTGATAAGATCATAGTTTTATATATTACATTGTTAAGTCTCAGTGTAAATTAAAATTGGGATAGTTTTGACTTTTCCATTTCCTGAAGGGGGCTTGTGGACTTTTAGTAGTCTGAACTGTCTATGAGAAGAACTCTGTCATAGTGGTGTGTGCTTTTATGCACGGTTCTGGCGATCAGCTATTCTTTGCTTCCTGTTTTGTTTATGAGTTAAATTTAAGTACAGTTGAATGACAAGATTTCTGGAATGTATATGTATAGTTCTTTTCATAGAAAACCACAGTCTTTTAAACACTGCAAGATTACAATCTGAACCTTTTGTTAGGCTTTTAATTCTAATTTTTAAAGAATGAAGGTAATTTGTGAAGATGGAAATAGGATGTTATAGCCCAGTCCGTTTAATTATTTATATAACTTTGAGTAAGTTATTTAATCTCTGTTCCTCAGTTTTTTTTGTTTTGTTTTGTTTTGTTTTTGGTGTTTGGGATGTTTTGTTTTGTTTTGTTTTGTTTCAAGGCAAGCACGGTGCCACGGATCTAAATCCCCAGCCGTCCTTCAGTTTTACCATCTCTAAAGTGGCATAAGAGTAAACCTCCTTTATAGGATTGAGTCAGTCATTTAAAACTGGGTTTTAAATCACAGCACTATGTATTGCATTGCAATATTTGACATGTTGGTGACAAATAACTAGTTTCAGCTTTAGCTGCATCTGTTAATTTGCGGTTAAAGTAATAAAGCATTGTTAAAATTTGTTTTAAAACAAGTCCTGATTTAAAATACGTTTTTTAAATGGAGGGCCTTTATATTGCTTTTGAGTGGTCACATGGTTGAGAACTTGTTTAAGTAATTCTTATTACTGATACATAAAAGAGAACTCCTGTCTTTCAGTTTATAAAATCACCTTAATAATCTTCCTCTTTTACATTTACTGGAAGTATGTAATACTAGATTTTTTTTACAAAATAACAGCAGTCTGAAGAAATGACTAGGAAGCTAAAAGGTCTGTCTCCTAAAAATGTGTCTCTTTAAGAGTAAAGTATAAAATAACATTTAGTAATTTTCTAAAATATGCTGTCAACATTACTAAATGAAGGTATATGTATGTTTGCTGAAGAATGCTACAACACTATGAATTTCATATTTTAATATAGTGATATGCTATATTATCATGGGATATTTTTATTATTCTATGTATGGAAAGATACTTTAGAGCTTGAGCCTGTTTATATCATGGCATCAGAAGGGAAGGTACTGTGACTGTATAATTGATCTTCAGTATGTTAATGTTTCCCAAGGAAAAAACCTCTTAATGGCAAAAATAGGTTTACAAATAATAATAAAGTACTATGTGAGTTTTAAAACTAAGCATTGTTACTTCCCAGTGACATTTAGAGCTGAAAAATAGATGATTTCTAATCCCTCTCCCCCCATAAATTATAGTGCTGTATAGTTTGTTAGGGTATGTGAAGGATATTTGAGAATTGGGGGTTTCAAGCAGTAAGATTATTCTTTATTAGTGATGAGACATTGTATCCCTATCCTCATAGTCAAGTGAAGTCTGAGAGGGAAAATGTAAATTAAACCCTGCCTCCCCAAAAGTCAACGTAAGAGCCTGTCTCAAAAAATAAATGAAGGACTGGAAATGAAACTCAGTGTGAAGGCCTTGGGTGCAGTCCAGATACATGGATGCATATATAGATAGATGGAGAGCAAAATTAGAAAGGGTAGAAGCAAAGCTTAGTAGTAGAGCTCTTCTATGCTGTGCTTGAGGCCCTAGATTCAATTCCTGGTAATGGAAGAAAAAAATCTTTTGATATCCAAGAGCTTTATGAGAGGAAAGAAACTTATTTTTAAGAAACTTTAAAAGTAGCATTTAGAAAGGTTTGGCGCTTAACATCTTGTAAATAATGTGACTAAACATTTTATTCATGATGTTTTTGTTTTTCTCAACTTCATATATTGCAGCATAGCTTTGTTAAAGTTTACCTTTTGATCATCTCCATTGAGTTTAAATGAGCAGTGTTCTTAAAATTTTTATAGAGCCATTTGTTGCTTTGTGATTATTATACAGTATTCTCATAGGCTTCTACTTAATTCTAGTTTCGTATGTACTTTTCACTTATTTTATATCATTAAATGGAATTTTAAATGAACATTTAGTTTTTAGTTAATTGCTTTTAAAAATAATTTTTACTTTCTTGAGATTTAAATATTGGTGCCTTTGTCTCAGAATATTACTTACGATTACTGTATTTTTAACACACAAGACTGGAAATGGTTATCAAATGAGAATTACGGTTTTAGGCAAGTATTGTACCAGCTGAGCTATGTTCTCACTTTTAGAATGTTATTTAGGGAATGGGGATGTAGGTCAGCTGCAGAGCAGTTGTCTACTATGTGCAAGACCATGAGTTCTATCCTTAGCACTGCATACATAGTTAAGTAAAGTAAGTAAATAAAAGTTACTTAGTAATTTCACCTATTTTTTTTTAAGTTAATGTAACTGTTGTTAATAAAGTACTTATTTTTAGGAAGTAGTTTCTATAATTAACTTTCCAAGTTTTAACATTTGAATGACCTTTTGTGCGATAGAAAACCTAGTAGTTCATTGTTTCAGAAACTAGCACACTTGCATTCAGTTTTTAGGTAGAAGCATCACTCAGCTTAAGAAAAGCAGAGTTATGTGAAGTTCAATAACTACTTCTGCAAAGTGACTTCTGTTATATAACTATAGTCTGAATGGAAGGGTACTTCAGTAAAAATGAAAGAATGAATTTCAATATTTGGTCAGTAAAAATTATGTGTGATTTTTACCTGTTCTAACACTTCACTGACCTAGGAGGAAGAATAATTTATACCAGTTATGTTGGATTTTCCTTTGAAGTCTTGGTATGTGTTTTTGGTAGAATAGAAACATTAAAAAATAATTTGTGGTAGATCTTATGTAATCTGGTTCATGGATAATCTTGCAATACAAACTGGTATTCTAAGCATTTATAGTGTATTAACTTTGGGAGACTGAAGTTCTATTCAGTGCTTCTGTTAAGTAAGTGATGTTGGAAATTTTCACATTTTTTAATGGAAAGTGATGTTGTAATTCACTTTTTTCTTTTTGATTTTAGATGGGAAATGTAAAGTCATAATATCGATAGGTTGACTGTGACAACTATGTTTACTTACAGAGAGAACAGGAAATGAGAATGGGTGATATGGGTCCCCGTGGAGCAATAAACATGGGAGGTAGGGATTTGAAGCAAAAGCCTTCTGTAACTTACTTGTAATTCTTTGGGATACTGTCAATGCCGTTTATAGGATCTGTATATCAATAAGAGACTTAAAATATGGAACCAATACTTGTGAAGGTGAAATCTCTTCTATTTATTAAAGTGAAATATAATTGTATTAAAAATACACACCAGGGAAGTAAATTTGAAAGCTATATGTTTTATACTTTTATAGTGTCAATGAAAGAAACTTCTAATACAGCCTGAAAGTAGTTGAGTCATTATATGATATAATTATATGATATGTATATAATATAATGTATTTTTGTAATCAGATTTTCTGCTTTTCACATTGGCTTTTTTACTTTGGAAAATGCTAGTTGTTTTTTTTAATTGAATTTATTGGTACATTTTAGGTAGACAGTACAGTTACATTCATTACTGGGATCTTGTACCTTTACATGCCAGGTCTTGGTTCTCATTTTTTCCCCTTGTCCCAACCCTCCCTTCACCCGCTAGTTTTTGATCAAGTGTTTTTAAATTTTTTGAGAACATTTAAAAAATTTCTGTTTCAAACTACTTTTTTTGTTCATGTTATTGAGTATTTAACATTTTGTTCTTAACCATAGTATTGTACATGGAAATGCACCGCCTAGAGTGATCTATATGACTTGAGGAAATGAAATATGCTTTGCTCATGTATATCATTAGGGTTCATGTGCAATTTTTGAGAAAGTGCCTGCATGAACAACTTTAATTTCCGTTGGCTTTTATAGTCAGATTATCAGCAAATTAGAATCAATAAGTAAAACAGTGGAGTAAGGGAATCATGGGTCCTCAGTTTGCAGTTTAAAGTGTCATACACTTAAACATTAGATAATGCATTAAACTTTCACATTAACTGGTCCTACAGTATAACCCAAATGTACACAGTATTTTGAAAATAACATTTCTGGAGCATCCTGTATATATGATGTGCTCAGTCATGTAGTACTTCTTCAGCTACATAGATATGAAATAAAATAAAAGATAGAATGAACATTTTCTATAATCAGTTTTTCTTCCTTAAATCTCTGATACCAGTTCTTTGATACTTTTTAATTACATAGTCTAAAATTGGTTCATTTTCTTATCTACCAGCGAGTAGTTATTAAGTATCTTTGGTATGTAAAGACTCCTGGAACATTTTCCTTGCCCATAATGAATTTAATCTTTCACATGGATACATGAAGTAATTATTCAAGCAAAAGTATAAATTCTAAAATATGAATCATAGTTGAATATATAATGATGTACCAGTGGTGGTTTATTTGTCTTTTTTGAGAGTAAATTCTGGTTTGCTATATAAAATATACTATGTGACTTTTTAAAGGACTATAGAAATGAGATTATTGTAGATTATAAGTAGTGTGAAAAACCATTGCAATCATTAGGTCATTAACATCAGAACCAGACTTTAAAATAGTGTAAAGCTTAAAACCATTTCTCATGGTCCAGAGAGATTGTGAAAGCATTCTCTTGAATAGCAGCTTTATAAGAATATGTGTTTACATACCCTATTTAGTTAGGAATTCAAGGGAATGTAAACATTTCATGACTAGAAAACTGACTGCACTTACATTTTCAACACTTTCCTGAAGTCTAATCCATTTAATATTCATTTCTTTAGTCTTTATTCAAGAGTAGACATACCTTAATGGTGTTTTGAAGTTATTCCAGTTGGGTTACTATTGAGTAGATAGAACTGATCTATCCTTTTAAGTTACATTGGTGGGATCAGGTGTGTAGCTCAGTGCTAAAGCTTGTGCTTAGTGGTTTTGCTTTGATCCCCAGCAGAAATACAAAAATAACAATTTCTATTGATGGAATATGGCAGTAGTGTTTCTGGTTCATCATTAGTGTGTATACTAAGTAAAACACAGATTATAAGCCAGATAATGGCAACGTTTCTTAGATCTTTATAGTTCTGTGGATAAAGATGTCAGTACTAAAAAAAAGGCTGATAATTGGGAATATCACTGACCCTTTTAAAATACGCATAGTTGTACATTAATGTAACAAGTTTACTGAAGAAGATTAGGGGAAAAATAATACTATTGATACTCTGTTTTTTGAGGGAAAGTTAAGGAAAGATGCCTGTTAGATGCTGCCTTCAATCCTACTTCTTTTCTAGATTATAGGAACCTGTTAAAGTGATAATATAACTGTCACAAGAGAATGGAAACGTTCTTGGATAAAGTACAGATTTATCCGCAAGAATATTTTGGGATTAAGGAAATTCCTTTGAATAATTGTTTGTTTTTTAGCTATTCCTTGGATAGGATGCTAGAGAGAGGTCAGTATCATTAGCTATTCTGAAGTGGATTTGAATTAAAATTTCAGCTCCTTCCAGTTTTTGAGAAATTGAATTCTGAGGGTCAGAAAATTGACCTACATGATGAAAAATACTAGGAAATAAGCTCTAAACTGGGCTAAATCTTTGTGCTGAATTTGTAGGACCAAGTAAGAGCACTCAAAAAATGAAATGAAAAACTTTTTGAGTAAGTATTCCAACTGAACCACTTTGGCAATTAGTATGAGTTAGCTGAATATCTTTTTTGATGAAAAAATTTGATCCAGGGCCGAGGATTTAGCTCAGTGGTTCTGCCACCTGCCTTGCAAGCCCAAGGACCCGAGTTGGATCCCCGATACCAAAAAAAGGTTTTTTGATCCATATCTGATTATCCTCATTTCCAGAATTGTGCATGTAAAAAAACATCTACTAGGTATTTTATTTCTATTTGGGTGCAGTTGTTTTTAAAACTAAGTTTTATCATGGTGAGTCATTTTTATTGGGAGAGTTTAGATTGCATATTTTTTTTGTGGACCTTGCATTTGCAAGGTAGATTGCATGTTTTAAAAAATAGTACTTTGTAATTTGGGAATGTACTTTGCAACTATATAAAAGCCAGGAGTTTTCTGCAGTGATCTTTGTAGAAAGTGATTTTCCCCCTTAACAACTTAGTGTCATTTACCTGGTACTATTTTTTAGTTATAATTAAGAAGACGGTTTTGAAGTGCTAATCCTCTTTTGTTCATTGAAACTAATACACTCAAAATTGCTGCTTAACCAAATTTTTGCCAGGTGTGAGTATTCATACTTCTAATCCCAACACCTGGCAGGCTGAGGCAGGAGGTTCACCTTGAATTAGATGCCAGCCTGAACTATATAGTGAGACCCTGTCTCAAACCAAAACCAAAACCAAAACAAAATTGTTGTGAGTAGGCTATAGTAAATAATACTAACTTTTAAAACTTTCAAATTGTTATATTCTCAGGTACCTTAAAATAATTGATAGTTGCCTCATTTGTGTATATATATTTTGGGGATGAAAATTATAGCATGTAGACAATGCTCTTGCACAGTAGAATATGTATCATTCTCTAGGAAGGAAAATGATTTTGATAAAAGTCTTGGGGTATAAGATCGTGTAAGTTATGTAAAGTTTTTAATGTTTACTAAACCTAAGATAGGACAGCTCTAAGTATAGATTGTTTTACATAGATGCGTTTAGCCCAGCACCTGCTGGTAACCAAGGTCCTCCTCCAATGATGGGTATGAATATGAACAACAGAGGAACTATACCTGGCCCACCAATGGGTCCTGGTCCTGCCATGGGACCAGAAGGAGCTGCAAATATGGGAACTCCAATGATGCCAGATAATGGAGCAGTGGTAATGTATCATAAACATTATTTTGATTATAATCAGTAATGTACACTTGTGCCCCAAAGATACCTTCACACTTAACATAATTTGGCATCATTTATTTTGGCAAGAGAAACAGCCAATGAAAGAAACGTAACTTTGTGAAGTTAATGTTTAGATTTATAAGACAATCTTTAATAGCCCAAGAGTTAGGAGTACTATCCAAATCATGGTCTTGTATCTCAGTATATAGAACATACTATGTTTTTACAGATTTTTTTTTTCAGTGCTTTAATTTGTAGCCACCATTTATTAGTGCTTACTGTAATGGTTGAATAGTTTATGTTTATGTTCTTTCTCTGTATGGACTACTTTGGTGGGGATAAAACTCCAGTATGTATGAAAACACAGTTTTCAATAACCATTTTTGCTAGACTGGTCACATGTCTTGATTTTAGAGTGTGTATTTTCACTGTAAAATACAGGGTTCTTTATATATGTATGTATGTATATATATATATCAGCCAGGCATGTTCTAATCTTATATTGCTGTTTCCACAGAATTACTTTTTATTTGTTACTAAATTTAGGTAACTTTTTTGCTTTGCTCTGAGAGTGTGAAGATATCTTTGGATGGGTTAAATATAAAAGGAAGGTTTTTCGGTTGTATTTTTATTATATATTCAATATGAGCAAGACTGATCCCTTTTATTACCCTTAAATGAGGCTTTATAATGGCGGAACATTTTCTCATGAGTTCGTCATTTTTCTAAATGACATTTAGAAAGAAAAATCTGTTGGCTGTATATTTTGAAAAAGCAGTTTGGTTTGAGCACTACCATATCAAATGTTTAATGTTACACTGCTGCTAAAGAAGAAAGACAGACACTATCAGTTATACTTAGATGTGCTATCAGTTGTAAATCTGCATTGATTTAGAAGACAATAAAAGTAAGACATTGTGGACTGAAGATTTAGCTCAGTGGTAAAACTTGCATCCACAGGGCCACAAAAAAAAAAAAAAGCAAGATGTGCATTTTAGAATTGAGGAATGCACTGTTTATTGTTTTAAATTTATTTACTTCACATAAAGTTTTTAAAATTAGGAAAATTTGATGTGCTAATACTTGGAATTTAAAAATGATAGTTTATTCAGCAAATTGAGGCAGTGTCAGCATCTACTATGAACAGATGGTACCTATTTTTTACAGTAAAATGTCAAAAAGCTCAAAAAAACATTAATTTGGTTAAGTTTTTCTTTAGCCTGTAACTTTTCTTTGAATAATATTGTTAACCTATTTTTATACTTCTTTCTCTGAAATTGTAAACTTTATTTAATTATTACTCCTGGGGCTTTTTTGCACTTACATTTTACTATTGTACTTAAGGAATTCTGTTCAAACCTTGAGCGTATTATTATATAAGTCATTATTGTGAAGTTTCCAAGATACCAGGTTTTGATATTTAATTATGCAATTTGTAGTACATATTAGTCAACATTTAAACTTTCCTAATACTAGTCTTTCAGTATAAACAACTTACAAGATTTCCTATTAAAATCGTATTTGCTTATGTTTAGACTATTGTTTCATGTGTTTTCTTTTTTAGAATGTTTGCTTCGTATAATAGAATGTGATGCTGCTCCCCAGTTTTATTTTTCTCATTTTTAGTAAAAAGTATCTTCGACCCCATAGTTTATGTAATATAAACTTTTAAAAAAGGATCAGAACAGTAATATAATACTAATTAGGCTTAAGATGGCATTTGTTTATATCATACAGTCAGTTCTTTTTTCATGAAATTGGGGCATAGCATTAGCAATATGTAAATCTTCAGATGCTGCTTTTTTATTTTTAAACATAGTAACTAATTAAATTGCTCCTTTCTTCCTTCTATGTGTGATCCTGATTCTGCTGGACTTTCTGCTGAACTTCATGACACCACCACTTGGGATTTTGCCAATTTTTCTTGTCACTTATATTTGGCGTGTTCCAAATGGACTTCATGTTTGTTATGTGGTATTCTAGCACAATGATAGATTTTCCCAAGGACCACCCTCCCAGATGGGCTCTCCTATGGGGAGTAGAGCAAGTTCTGAGACCCCTCAAGCACCGATGACTGGTGTGGGTCCCGTGAGTGGTGGTCCTGGTGGCTTTGGTAGAGGCAGTCAAGGGGGAACCTTCGAAGGTCCTAATAAGCGTCGTAGATATTAAACATTCTTTTGTTCCTGACTCCCTAGAAACAAAATTCAGTGGTATGCCTTTACACTTTTACTTGTTACCTGGAAGAAATGGTTTTATTGTTAATGTATGTGTAGACTGAAAACTCTTTCTTTTGTAAAAATTGAGGTTTTGTATTTTTCTTTATTCGTAAGCTTTGTAGATTAGAATGGTAGTGATGATACACATCATTGTGAATGTTAAAATATGTTTGTGACTTTAGCTGACTATAGCTATGCCATAGTACTGTGAAATCTATGTAGTTACTTTATCTCAATAAAGAAATCATTTTGAGTAATTTAAGATGTTATTAGTGGTATTCTCTTATGGTTTTACTAAGCTTTGCTGTAACAGTGATTCCTTGGTTGCTTTAACTAATCCCAGCCATTTAAAAATGCAAAAATGATTTTGCTCTTTTTGTGCAAGTAGCTCTGAAGTTAGAAACTTAGTGAAAGCTAATGTCAATACAGATACGTGGATTAGTATATTTGGGGGTGGGAGTGCATGGGAGTTTAATTTGTGTAACCCATTGATGTTCTGTGAAATTGGAGTTGCTGCCTACATTTCATAAAGATTCTGAATATTCAGATATTCTGAAAAGGAAGGGTATCTTTGTCCTGTGCTGCTTTTCCAAATAAATCTTTTGAATCTTGAAAAAACTGTTTGAAGGCAAATCTCTTTTGCTTATAAAATATCTAGTTTGTAATTTTATCTACCAACATTTATTTGGTGCCAATATCTAGTTTTCATCTCAATTATTATACAATTAGTGTTGAAAAAAAATTTTTTTGAAAGAAACTACTGTTGGATTGGTGGTTATGGAAGATTTACTGGGTGGCTCATGGTTAATTAGGCGCTTCTTGAGAATGTTGATTTCTAATAGTATTAAAAGGATAGCATGATTCTGCAGTGTTGAAAATATTTCTCTGTAGTTGTAATTCTCTCCAGTAAAATCTGTCTGATGATTAGGACTGTTTATAGTTGAAGTGTTGAATTTTAAAAGGGAGAGAAGCAACTTCAGAATGGAAGGGTCTTTGTAATCTGATTAGATTTCTGTTCTGTCCATTACCAATTTGCAATTGTAGTGCTTGGTTTCATGTTACAATGTTTCCCCTAAAAGTCATTGGTATGTTTCAAAATTCGTTGTGTGTGTTTGTTCAGAACTACATTAAAAATTACATTAAGAAATCTCAAATTTAACTTGTACTACAAAGCTAATTTACCAGCCAGTGATCATAGCAATTTTCACACATTTTGGTGCATTAATACATCATTCTTTTACCATCTTTCTGAAAAATACAGTGTTTTTAAGTAATTGTGTGTAAACAGTGCCTTTAATATATGCATGGTATCTATTTTTGGTGGAAAGAATATTTTTAAAAAATAGTTTTGGTTAATTAAAAATAAAAAGGAATTGTTTATAAAGCATAAATAAGATGCATTCTTCTCTACCTAAATTTTTCGTATGTATTGTTTGATACTATTTCTTTGATACTATATTGTATATGAAATTATATTCTAAAATTTGCAGTATTCACAAGCTTTGCTTTCAGTAATTCTTTGAAAACATGCAGATTGTAAAATGATAGTTAAAGACTATTCTCATTACATTTTTTTCATGAGTATAATGTGGGGATTTGGATTTGTTTTATGACATTCATTGGGGTGTGAAGAGTTTTAAAATCAAAATTTCTAAGCAATATTTACTGCATTTAAGTCTACTTTTTCCATCTATGTTTTATTTATTTAATACTCTGGTAATTTTTAGCATTGTATTTCATTCAAGGCTGAATTCAGATTGGCAGACACTTGATCCTTTGATGTTATTACCAAGCTACCTTTGGCCAAGGCTGTGAAATTCTGTATGATTCACTCAAGGACATTTGAAAGCCAGTGCACAGAGATGTATTAATCTCCTGAACATCCTAGTGTCCGGGCTCAACTCTGGCTCCAAGAACAGAGTTCTACACAGCTTTTCCCCTGCATCAAGAAAATTCTTGTTCCAGTACTTAACCAAGTTTATCATGGAAACAGTCAGCTTCTGAGTGACAGTCAAGTGGAGCATCTGTGAACTTCTAGTTACTCAGTTGTTAAGGGTTTTGTATAAATTTTTGTAGCTGGTTTATTCAATATTTTTCTTGTGAATTAGCATACCCATGAACATTGGTGTCCTTTGCATAAGAATGATAGACGTAAAACTGAAGAGGAAAAAAACTGAAGAGATTCAGTAAGGTTAGGTTTCTGAGTAAGTGTGAGGTTGTCATATATGTTATAAGTTTTCAAAAGATAATATGAAACAATTTTAATATCATCTTCCATTTTCTTTTTGTGTCATTTAAAATTTCAAGTACTGAATTTAAAATCTGCAGGGTTTAGGTTTCATATACCTTTTGTAGTATATATGAATAAAACAAAAGTACATTCATTTTCCTAATCTTATTCTAGCATTGTAATTTATTGGGATTTCTCATTTTAATTTTGAAAGCATATGCATTGATTTTCTTTGACAGATCTACTATCCTCGCTCGTAATTTAATGGAATTTGGAATTACCAACAAGGACAGTGACTAAAACTTTGGCTCTTTTTTTCTCAAACACTAAATTATACCTTTACAGTTCATGCACAAATATATTTGTTGAATATTTTAGCGACTTGGTATTTTAATGGAAAGTATGTAATACCTGCTTAATATCAGTGAGTGACTAATAGTCATTGATTAGTAAGTCAGGAGTTAAATTGCAGATTAGCATAGATTTTGAATAGGAAAGATTTAAAGGTGATTGAAATGACATGAGAAGAAATGTGATATAGCAAAAGCTTTAGAAGGGTTGAAATTTAGTGTCATATGGTACTAGTCAGAAATAAAAGCCACGTCATTTTGGACAAATAGAGAGGGAGTCTCCTGTGGAATAAGATGTTTAATAAAAAAGTTTGCATGTTTAAGACTTTTGTTGCAACATGTAATAAAATATTTTCTTGAAGTTTCAGATGATAGCAGTGATTTCAAAGATGAGAGATTTTTAAGAATAAAATTGAATACTTGTACCTTAGAATAAGAGTTGTTAATGTTTTCTACTATTTCTGTTAGTTATTCATAGGCATGGACTTTTTAAATAGTGGAAAATACTTCAATGCAGATTTCTGGTTACTTTGACTGTAAATATTTCAACACACAGCTCTTAAAAGAACATTTTGGCCAGTTTTATATCAAAGAATATTAAAATATATATAAAAAATATATGTCAAGTTACATAACCAACTGTAGGTTTATTTCTTCATGAGCTAATCATATGATTAAATTAGCCATAATCTCATACTTTATAAAAGCATTCTTTATTTTCAACAGCCTACATTTCTTAGTTTTTAAAAATAGGGCTTATTGGGGGCCGGGGATTTAGCTCAGCGGTTGGTGGCCTGCCTTGCAAGCGCAAGGACCCAAGTTCGATCCCCAGTACCAAAAAAAAAAAAAAAAAAAATAGGACTTATTTTCTTGTGTTCACTTTATACAGTTTCCCACATGAATGTCTCATTAAGTAGTTTATAAACATTTATTCTTGGGAACTAAGGAAGAATTGCACCACATTTAACCTTTTAAAATCTGAATCTACATATTAGGTATTTGAATTACTTTTTATAACTACCAACAGCACCTTGTTAGCTAGGCATGGTGATGCATGCCTATAATCACAGTACTTGGAAGGCTGAGACAGAAGGGCCACTATGAGTTTGAGGCCAGCCTGAACTACATAGTGACATCCTGTTTTTTTAAAAAAAAAAACACCTAGTACTATCTTTTGTGTTATATAAAGTTTGAATTTTTTTGTCACTGAAAACATTAATTCAAGATTGATTGAAGGTTGGATCTTTAAAACAACATTTAAAGTTTAAAGTCTTAAGACTTTTGTCTTTTTCTATAAAACCATGTTTACATTATGAATGTTTCTAGAAACCTGTTTGTATTTTCATTTCTTTGGTGAAAGTAGTGTTATCGGTAGTTTCTCTGTTTTATATATTTTCTTTTTGTACACCTAAAGACTGTTTCAGATTGAGGATAGTGCACTTCTTAATGCAGTCACAGTCCATTTATATACATTGAAAAAAATTCTTAGGTCTCCCTTGTTTTAGTAGTAATGTGAGTGAACCATAACTGCATATAGATACATATTTTTTGTGTATGGGTTTCCTTTATAATATTAGAGATTGAACACAAGATCTCTCATGCATGCTAGAAAAATGCTTCACTGCTAAGCTACATCTAAACCCTACCTCCTTTAAATTTTTTCAAAAATTTCTAGAAAGTTTAAGATGCCCAGCGGTCCTAGCTGGCCTAGAACTTGCAGTCCATTCCTCCCTCAGCCTTCTTGGGTAGCTGGGGTTACAGGTGTGGGCCACTATCCCTGACTTGTATATTTCTTTAAGTGGTTCACTGGTCGTGTTGTGTAGTTTGAAATTGATATTTATAACTATAATTTTCCTAGCTCTTTAATTACCTTGACATACTCACATTTTATTAATTTATATGTGTATTGTACATCTCATGTAAGGTATACGAGTTAGTGTCTAATTAGCCACAGTCATTTGTAATGTTTTCTCTTCAGAGCTCAGCAATACACTTTTTCCAGCTTTTTTTTTTTTTTTTTTAATCAGAAATGAATGTCATGAGCTGGGTGAGATGGTATGTACCTATAATTTCAGCACTCAGCAAGCTGAAACTGGGGGATTACTGCGCTAGTATACTTAATGACATCCTGTCTCCAAAAAAGAAAAGGGACATTGCATGTTTGCCAACCCGTCAGACTTTGTGAATAAGATTTTGTTGATTTTTTTTTTAAGTTTTACAACAGTTATATAACCATAATTCTATGCATATTAACTTTGCGTTGGTAGGACTATGAGTTTTACGTTTTCATTTGTTACATGGTTATTTAAACAATTTTACATGTCATTTATATTATTTCATGTGTGGAAATACAGAAACATTTTAAGTATATTTTGCTACAATAAATAGTTTTTCCTGAAGGTATTTTTACATTATTAGATAATGTAAATCAGTATCAAATTTCAGACATTTCTAAATTCATATTGCCTATTGTTATATATAATAAAATATATAATCAGTAATTCTTAGGGTGCTGGTGTGAAGATAATAGTAGTAATTTGCCCAGTTTTTTATTTTGTTTGAGACAGGGTGTCACTATAGAGTCCTTGCTGATCTTGAGCTCACCAGGTATCCCAGACTGCGTCAAACTTGCTGCGATCCTCCTGCCTCAGCCTCCTGAGTGCTTGGTTTACCAAAGTGTTCCACCATGCCCAGCATCCAGTAGTTATTTAGTCTGTATTAATTCTTTGAGTCAATTTAGAACATTTTACATATTCCTACATTTCATTATTTTACACATTAGTGTAACTTTATTTTTTATTTTTGGTACTGGGGATCGAAGTTGGAACCTTCCTTTGGCTAGGCAGGCTGTGGCACCACTGAGCTAAATCCCCAGCTAATGTAAGTTTAAAGCAAAGAGTTTTTCAAATTTCAGAACAGTAATGGGTTATTATTTACAAAATAATTTTTCCTAGTTCCATAAGACTTCGAAAGAGCTATGCCATTCAGAACTTTACTATATCTATTGTAGCAATATATATTTAGGGTCTATATTCTGTGCTGGGAATTTTTGTGGTGCTTAAATTATAATATTGGGACCCTCTCTCTATAAAACTACACCCAAAACA